CATATTTTCTCAAATATAATATTATTAATATAAATTCGTTTTTATTAAACAATAGATTGTATATGAAGTTATTTAAATAAGGTAAATAAAAAAATTTACCTAAAATCAAGGAGAAATTGACAACTAAGCAAATTTACTTCTAATTCATTTTTATTAAATAATAAATTGTATATGAAATTATTTAAGTAAGCTAAATAAACAAATTTACCTAAAATCAAGGAGTAGTTGACAACTAAGCAAATTTAATTCTAATTCATTTTTATTAAATAATAAATTGTATATGAAATTATTTAAATAAGATAAATAAAACAATTTACCTAAAATCAATGAGAAGTTGATAACTAAACAAATTTACTTTTAATTCGTTTTTATTAAATAATAAATTCTATATAAAATTATTTAAATAAAGTAAATAAACAAATTTAACTAAAATCAAGGAGAAGTTGACAACTAAGCAAATTTACTTCTTAAATAATAGTATAGATGTTTTGTAGAAGTTTTTTTTTTGTTTTGAAAAGTTTTGGAGAAGTTTTGATGTTCCAAAATATATAATGTTTGATACTTTTAATTTTTTTTTAACTTTATTGAAAACTGAAGACTATACATAATATTTTCTGTATTATTTATGATTGGTATCTCATTTTGGATTTATACTAATCGTTATCTTCTAAAAAATTAAGCTTTTTGAGAAACTGCTTATATGACGGAGGGGATTATATGCATTAATCGCAACAAACGAGTACCATAAACCCAAAAGAGATCAATCAAATAAACACAACACAAAAACACACACAAAGCTAAACCGATTATCATAACCATAGGTTGGTCAATAACCAATGTTTGAAAAATGCTTAACGTTGATCAGGATTAGGTTTCCAGGGAAAGCTTTGTTGCACCCTCATATCTTTCATTAGCCTTGTTCATCTTTTTCTCCAACTTACTCAACAAACACCTCTCCTCCACTATCTTCTTTTCAACCCTTCTCACTCTGTCTCTTGCTGCTTCTAAGTTGCTCAACTTCTCTTCCTCGTTTTCCCTTACTGTTATCGGGAAATGAATCTCCGGTTTGCTGACACACATAAAAATCAAGAAACCAAATATCATATCATCAGCATCACATACACAAATGCAAGAAAAGGAGTGTAAATGAAATAAAGATCAAGAAGAGGTCAAGAACCTGCTCCCTGGATATATAAACTCGTCTTCTTTTGCTATAAATCCATCTAACGATACTGCACTACCACCACTGATATGTGGAAGAGCCTCTTCAACTTGTGTTTGTGTCTCATAAACCTGTAGATTCCCAAAGAGACCATAGAACAGGGTTTCCCTAAGCCCGTGACCCTCATATGTTTTGATGTTTAGCTCCTCTTGAGACAAGTCAATCATGTTCACTGCATAGCCTTGGAAACCTGGTAGCTTTGGAGCTTCCATGGCTAGTTTCCTCTGAGGATCATTCTCCACAAATCCACCAATCCAGGGTCGACTACATGTTTGTTAAAAAAAAGATCATCAAGAAACAACATTAGGGTTTAGCAAAAACAAAACTTGTAAGATACGTTACCTCGTTGCACCAAGACATTTAACATGAAACCGTCTGGTAATTGATGTTTTGAGCCTATCTGCTTCAGATTGAAGCATGAGATGACTTTGTGATCTAAGTCGTGTTGATTTGCATACTAAACCTAGCATTATGTCTTCTCCCAAATACTCAGACAATACCCTGCCATATCAAGTAACATAAGATAACTTTTCAATGTGATCAACTCTAGAGATTTGATGTCACCTGCTAAGGGAGGTTGAGGCAACTGAACCAAGAAGAGCTACGATGCCAAACGCTCCTTCCTTCGACAGAAGCAGAGACTTTGGAGGCTGAGCTTTTCTGTACAAAGAACAGAAAACCGATGCAGCAGTGTTGTAATGCTTCTCTTCTATGTGTTTCATCATTTGTTCTTTGGTAGATAGGCACTCTGGGAACACCACACCGTGAGGCTCCAGAGAAGCTGAAATAGAGGCACCATGATTAAGACTGAGACTCTTAGACTAAGTTTAAAAAAAGTGGATAAAGTTTGAACAAACCAATTATGCAGAAATGAGCAGCAATGCAGCTTCAAAATTTAAACCTAATCTAGACCTAAAAGGATAGTTTACCTTGCATGTTACGCAACTCTTGCACAGCCTCTTCTTGTTCAGCTTCCAAACATTTTAGACGCTCATTTGCTTCAGATATCATTTCACTGTAACTATTGAGCTTCCCTTTTAGTATCTGCAAGAAAAAGGAGCATTTTCAAACAGGGCTGAGTCAAGAACTTGGAACGCAAGTTACATCATTCTATATGTTTTGTGTGGCTTAAATGGGTATAGATCATACCTCAGTGTACTCACTGATCTGTTCCATATCAACTGGTCTAGTTTGGCTACTGATAGCTGATGACATTTCTCTAATGGACAAAAGTCTAAACTGTGAAGATTGAGTCTGTTGAGTTGGAGTCACCCATGGATTTGTTGTTGAACCCATCTTTGACTGTGGTGTTCCATATATCTTTGGATTAGGTTCAGAGCAACCAATCTTTGATTGAGGTGTTAGATATATCCTTGGACTAGGTTCAGAGAAACCAATCTCATCTCTCTCAAATGTTTGAGCAGGAGTTAGCTGAATCTGAAAAATTAAAGATTAGATGGTATCTATCAGCAACCTATTTCAAGAACACTCAAATCTCAATTCATAAATTAGTATTACCTTTAAGCTCATATGAAGCTCAGGATGCCTAGAATGGAAAACCTTGAAAGAGAAGACACCCTCTGTATCAGGTAGGGCAAGAGAAGGGATCTTGCATGAGCCATGAACAAAGGCATATCTTATTGCACTCTCATCAATTTTTGAATCAGATTGAATGCTCAAGGTGTGGAAACATTCGGATTTATCGTCATTGTTGATACTAGTATCCATAATACCAAATGAATCCGTCACTTTAAACTTGAGGTCTGTAAGATTTGTACCAGCAGTACAGTACTCTGGGAGCTGATAAAAAAAAAAGAAACATAACTTGAAAAGTGTTTAGGTTAGAGAAGATGAAAAACAGAACATCAGAGCAAGAGAAGTACCTCTTTTAACAGCCTGAGCTCTCTTATCTCAACTAGAGACTCTTTCTTGAATATCTCTTTACTTCCAGACATAATAGCTAATGATACTACAGAGAAACAAAGATATGAGATAATCAGAAGATCTCTTTATTACATCTAACAAAACAATGGAACCAGACTTTACCAGGCTTCCCATAGCCTGCTGTGACTTTGAGAATTCCAGATAGATCAATGCAGCCAGCATTATCAACCTATGAAGTGATCAAATAACTTACAAGACTAAATGAAACAAGAATCCAAACAATTTACTAAACTCTGTCTTGCTTATTCCATCTCTTATGTACATGCAGAACTGTAAGAAAATAAGCTTTTAGCACCTTTAGGTTTAAGCTCACTGAGTCTTGGATGAAAAAGCCATTCAGACAAAGCGAAACATCGGTACCTTCTGCAACATGGTTATTATATCCATCGAACATCTGCTCAAAACTCAAAAGTTAGTGCACTCAGCTTCATTTGATGGAAATACTCATCACTTAAACATAACATGCATTCATCTTTTTTTATATATTACCTCCAAGATGAAGTTTTCAACAGTAGAATCGGGGAGTAAATTTTCCAAAGCCTTTGGATTCTTCTCGACAACACGCTTCAGAGGCCCAGGTTTAACTGAAATACGAAAAAGCTCCCTTAAGTATTCTACAAGAGTTTAGAAAAACAGACAAATGAAGACTTGTTTATATGCAGATTCAAAGTACTAGGGCTTACCATTACATGCAACTGAGACGGAAAATGGTTCATCCTTTGAGCATATTTCTAAGGTTGCTTTATAACCTGGTCTGATGCTATCTAACTCATCAGTCTTAACGAGCATATTCTGCATTAGTTTAAAAAAGTTATACACTACCACCATAGGTTTTGTATATAGTATGATCTACCTTCTTATAATAACAAAAATGTATTCATAACATCAGGACTCAGATACCTTGAGTGTGAGAACTCCATGGTCTATCAGCTTGGCCTCAATCTTGTAAACCGGGACTTCGAATCCAGGGCTGGCTTTCAGTTTAACGTGAAGACTTGGAACAGAAGTGAATGGTATCTGATTCTCATGCTCATCCAAACAAGTGATAGATAAAGGTGGAAGACACGATCCCACACTGTAGATACATAAGATGAAGAATGTAAGATAAGGAACAAGAGAAAGGTTTCTGATATGCAGTGCAGTTAGGAGTCTAACCTAACATTAATGGTCTCCTGATTACCAACAAGTTTCCAACTTCCCACCTTAGAAGATGGTTTAACAATCACCTTCTTTTTACAAGTAATTGAATTCCCCTGAAAGAAAAAATGTACACCGATTACACTATATGATATATTGTAGAAGTTTATAGGTTTACTTACAACAGAGAAGCTGAAAATGTAAGTCCCAGCTTTCTTGAACAAGTGTGGGAACTTGGACTCAAGTGGGAAGATGTAAAGACCATGAAACCCTTCACGGTTTGTAGGAAAACATCGATCAGAATACAAAGGTTTTGGATTCTTCTCCCTTGATTTATTATTTTTGCCTTGTAACTCAACTTCCATGAGCATCTCACTATCCATCTTCACAATATGTTTCTGATCCAACTTTTTAGACAGCTTTGAAGATGTGAAGCTAGCAGGTCTAACAACTGCAACAATCTGTTGTGGTGGAGTTTGTCCAGCAAATACTGATGCACCAATGGTTGTTTCCTGTTACATAATGATCCAGTGACTAGTGCTTAGATTAACATATAGTCTATATCTGACTCATTACTAGTAAGAAGAGAAAACTTCCTTACCCCATTAAGGTTCAATGTTCTGCAGTCTATCTCATTGAGCAAATCGATTCTTGATGGATCTTTTTCTTTTTGCCTGTTAAGTTTTCTGTTCCATTCATTCTCATCAAGAAGTACACACTGTACAAAAAACAACGTCTCAGAGTTATATTAAAAGAGTATGCAGAAGAATATAACAGTATGGTTTCAGGGTTCAGCTATTGACCTTTTCAGAGTCTATAATACTGATTGGGAAAGATGATGATTTTCGAATTTCTAGTTTTGAGATTCCTTTTATGGTAGAAAGCAAGCATCCCTCTTCCTCAGAGAAATTGACTTGCCTACATTTAGCAAAAAGTTAGAATACAAAACTATAACAATAGTGATAAGTTATCTACAAATCAGAACTTAGTATAAATCAATCACCTGCATATAATCCGAGCATCACCTGCATATAAGACACATTAAAAGATATCAACCAACAATGACAACAAATAAAAAACCATTATTCTTATTTGTAGTAAAGAAAGTTTACTTACCTCCTGTTTCATCCTCAAAGTTCTCTATAAGGAAATAGTCAATAGTTGCATAGACATCGTTCTTGTGAACTCCAGCACATGCTCCTTTCATAATCTTGATCTTCTGTCCACGTTCCCATGACTTTCCTTTTCGCTTCATTACCTTGTGCACCCTCACAGCTACAACTCGAAACCATTTCAGTTACATTATATAAAACCATAAAGTGTTTGGAGCTAAACATACCTTCACAATCAGGAGAAATGCAAAGAGCTTTGTTATCCAAAGAATCAAATATAACGGTTGCTTCATCTTCACCTAATGCATCTTCTTCATCATATGACTTATGCATCTTAAAAACCCAATCCTGATAACTCTGCTCCACTTGCCCATAAGTCAAACTTTTTCCTTCTTTATGAATCACCATACTGACATCTGTAGAGTTATCCTTCTCCTTTGATTTACTACCAAAGTTTTTCAGAGCCACAGAGAATAGGTTTTGGCTTGCAAGATCAGTCTGCAAAAAAAAAAAATGATCAGTAATCAAACAAAGAAGATAATAATTACATTAACTAATCTTGGGGGTAGTGTTTAAGCTCACTTTTGAGGGTGTTGGGACAAAACCAGCATCCAAATCTACAACCACCATGAATGCAAACTTAAAATCATAAAGCATATTATGAAAAGAAGCATTTATATAACTTGACATACCAACAAAACATTTCACTCTTTGGCAACATTTTTGTAGAGTACAGGCTCTGGCTCCTCTTTCCATGAAAGGAATTGATGCCTGCACAAAAAAAAAACATCGGTCAAAAAGTTATTTGTCTAACAAGTAACAACAGAGAAGAGAAGAGATGACTAACCCAAGGGACTTCTGGGAGTAGACGGCCAAGCCTTCTCACTGAAACACGACCAAAAGTCTGAAAGCTTTCAGAAACTTTGTATCCTTCCTTCTCTAAGCTTTCCATAATTATATCAATGCTCTCTTTTCCCTGCAAAATGAAAATTTAAGAGCTCAAAAATTGTTGAAAGGTAACCAAAGAGGTCATGTAAACTTCTTCTGAAAAAAAGGTTGTCATACATGAACTATTGGAAAATAAAAAAACTTGAGACGAGCGTTTGCCTCTTGTGATTTTCCTGCATGACAAAGAAGATATAAATTTTATCTATACCACATGATGAACCAAAACCAGTCAAACATATATAGCTTGAAATGTCAAAGTGTTAGTACCTTTTCTATTTTCACAGAAACGAATCTGAAACCAAAACTCTTCACCCTTGGAGTTTAGGTTGGTGGTGGCAACTTCTCCACCCACTATCTCAGTTAAATCATCTCCATGGACCTTGAAAATGTCGAAAAAAACAAGAAAAGAGATATAATTGATTGTAACTAAGAGAAGGAAAAATAAGAATGATAATATCTAAACCTGAAACTCGACAGGCCTTAGTGTCCTCCCAGTTTTAGAGACTTCATCACACTACAAAGTTGACAAAAGACTTTTTAAAAAAAAATGAATATTCCTTCAAAGAACCACTAGAATAAAGAGATTAGTTATTACATATCGTTAGTAGTCTCAGCTAAGCAATATATACCTGGATGTAAGGAAAATAAATATCCTTAAGTCTGCACTGAAGTTGATATATTTCTGGGATCTTACATTTAGCTTCAAAGATCTCAACCTAGAAATGAAATAGAATAGCAGTTGCATAGAAGACAAATAAGCATCTTAACTTGCAGTTTCAGGACTGAGGAATTAAAAATAGATGAAGAAACCAACTATCAAAATGACAAATGTACCTTTGTGAAGCTTCCATGAGGAGATAACTTCATTTCCTCGTCCAAAGGATCCCTCATCCCACCATCGACCTTTCCAAAAAAAGATGTAAAATGACATATATTATAATAAGTAATAAGCTAAGTTGAGTTACAAGATGTATGATAACCAACCTTCCAGTTTTTTCCTGAGGTAGAACGATTATCAATCAAAGCTTCTTTATTGAGTTGCAAAGTGAATACTTTCTTGGACTCTTTCGTCTTTGAAGACACCAAAGTACGCCTAAACCATGCAAGTGTCAAGTGAGTTAAATGCACATTAGCAAAAAAACATTGATGGGTAAAAACAGGAAATGATATTCTCACCTTCCCAAATGCATACAAGCATATGCACCTCCATATCCAAACATCCCAAAGAATGGCTACATTTCATAAGATTGAATCTTAATTAGATCAATCTTGTCTCGTTAATTCAATAATTTATCTTCTTATGTATAAAAGACTGATGTATGCAGAAAATGTAACTACCATAAGGTATGGTGGGTTGCCTCCAATAGCTTTGGATTTGTAGGACCTATGTATTGAAGCTCCTATTTTTCCCCTGCAAATTTTTGAATACAAAACAAAATGCTCAATGTTTCAAAAAAAAAAAAAAAAAAAAAAATGCTCAACATTGCATCATCAAGTTCAGTAAAGAACAATTGATTGTAAAAGAATGTAAACTTATTTGTTTTTATATAAGTAATTTATAACAATATCTTCTATGTTTTGTAACCTCACCATTTAGCAATAGAGTTTTCCTTGCTACTGTCCATTCCAGGACCAGAATCAAAGACTATAATCCGATCTTTAAGAACATCAACACTGCAAGAGAAACCACATGGATTCAAAGATAATTAAACTAAAGTTGGATCATATGATTTTTTATGGACAAGAACTAACCTAATCAGTCTTCTGTTTCCAGGGGAACAAGACCACACAGCTTGCAAAGAATTATCCTGTGAAGAAAGTTGTTCTTTAACAAGAAATCTTATATTATTAGGTATCATGTCACTGGAAAACACTTACTATTAGATCCGCAAGAGCTGTCTCAAAGCTATAATTTTCAGGCAGTTCTTTAAGCATATCAGTATCAGGAGTTAGATCCCACATATTCTGCAAATAACAACCAAGAATGTGATCATCATCACTGAACCAGGTTAAGGAGTCAATGATATACATTTACATATCAAAACTATATAATAATACTGACCTCATACATAATGGAAGCTTCATCAGACCCATCCTAGTCCAGAGATTAAAGTTTGATGCAAAATACATTCAGAAAAAAAAATTCATAATTAGCTGAATGAACACATCAGATTAAAATCAAATGAAAGAAACAAAAGAGGAAAAACAACTCACATCAAGACGTATTATATTGCTCGAATCAGGCTTAAAACTCTCGAATTTAACAGTTCTTCTAATCTTTTCACCATTATGTTCGAGATAAGATTCAGCAGCCTGATTCCAATCAATAGTTTTCCTCTTTTTTCCGGACAAGACAAAGTTCTTACGAGTTTTCTCATACTCCTCTTTGACTAGATTAACCAAATACTTGATTGACATTTCAGGTCGTGGGTTGGTAAGTGAGAGTGTCACACTTGTGCTGTTTGGTAAAAGAACCTTGAGCTTGTATAACTTATCTTCTTCATCATCATCATCTAGATCCAGTGCTCTCTTGAGTGGTCTCTTGTTACTCATCTAAAATTACAAAGTTATGAGAAAACCTACAAAAAACAAAGAAAAAGAAGAAAACCTCAATTTACCTTTTGATGGGAAAAGGCAGAGAAAGAACTGTAAAACGCAACCAGATGAGAAGAAGAACCAGAAGACGAGAGTGGAGTTAGTATTTGGAGTAAGAAGATGAAGAGACGTGGAGTAAGAGAGAGTAAGTGAAGAGTCAGTCTCCTTATAAACTTATACTACACGCTTAGTTTTTTTGTTTTAAATATAGAGATAATAAGAAATTTTATTGGCTTTTAAATTGGTGCTCTATTCCCCAGGAAAGGCAAATTATGCCATGCCATTTGTTGATTTGTTGGTCTGGAGAAAAGAAAACGGAAGTTAGGTTAGATTAGGTATATCCATTATTTACAGAATCATTTTAGAATGTTTTGATATGTGGAAGATAGAGCCGAATTGGCTTCTCGTGCAACTTTCAAGAGTCATACTTTAAAACAAAAGGCTTTATATAAACATGAGAACTTAGAGTAAAGCCAACAACGATGCAGACTATATTCACAAAAGATCAGCCCTAACCGACACAATAAACAAGATCCAAGTTTTCATGAACTAAAACTAAACACCAAAAGGCACTTCTTAATGTCTCATAACATTTACATGTCCTGAGAGTCAGCCATGGCTGAGAAACGTTCGTACTTCTTCGTTGCCTTCTTCAGCCTCTTCTTTACCTTCATCAACGTACCTTGCACCTCAACTATCATCTCCTCACGCTTTCTCTTACTTTTCCTGGTTACTTCCAGTTTAACCAAAGCCTTTTCGTGCTTCTCTGTTACCGTTACTGGAAAATGAACTTTTGGAATCCTGACAAACCCATAATATGCAGAGAGCAGTTTCAACAGTCATTATATAAACCAAAAGACAGATGGAAAAATAAATACAAAAATCTGGAAGGTTTGCGAGACAAGCGCACATACCAGGATCCAGAGAACGTATATCCTTTTCTTTTGGAGATCACACCGTCTAGAGACACAGCATCTACACCATTGATGTAAGGAAGGGCTGCTTCAATATCCTTTCCCGTCTCATATACTTGTAAGTCTCCAAAAAGGCCATAGAAGAGTGTCTCTCTAAGCCCGTGACCCAAACTTGTTTGTATCTCTAGTTCCCCTGACGCCAACTCGATCATGTTCACAGCGTAACCTTTGAAACCAGGTATGGGATCTCCATTGGGTAGACAAGGGTTAACCATGGCTAATCTCCTCTGAGGATCATTTTCCACAAGTCCACTGCTCCAAGGTCTGCATGTTTTTTTTTATCAGAGCACCAAACAGAACTTGGCTAAGCAATATTATCAAGGATTAGCACAAAAAAAAAAAACAAAGGAAGAGTTGAGATTACATACATGATTGCATCAAGACAAAGAATCTTCAAAGGCTTGGTTATGGATAGTCCGAGCCTAGCTGCTTCAGCTTGAAGCCTAAGGTACTCAGCAGCGCTTGGTCCATATGCTGATGATATACACACCAACGCAAGCATTTTTACTTTCCCCAAATAGACAGATAACACCCTGTTATATCAAATAACATGAGAGACTGAGATTCGCCTCAACTTTAGACTCTGATCAGAAAAAAAAAAACACTTTGGTTATAAATTGATGTCACCTGCTTAGCGAGGTGGAAGGAACTGAACCAAGCAGAGCTACAATGCCAAATAGTCCTTTTTGTGACAGAACAAAGGACTTCGGTGGCGGAACCTTTTCGGTCAAAGAACAAAACACTGATGCTGCAGTGCCAGGATGATTCTTTTCAATGTTTTTCAGCATTGTCTCTCTGGTAGATAGACATTCCGGGAGCGCCGCAGAGATCGAATCCAGAGAAGCTGAGATGAAATTTACATGAAAAGGTTAGAATTTCTGGTTTATACTCTCTGTCATTCTTTTGGCTTAGAAAATTGTTAAAATGAGACTATGATCTAATACAAATTGTTGAAGTTAACGATGTAGGCAGTGTTTCAGAAACCAAAAAAGTAAAATAGGATCATCAATGCAGCAGCTTCAACCACCATTAGAGATACCAAACTTCAGGAAAAGAGACAATCTTAAAACTAAGAGAGTAGTTACCTTGCAAAGCAATCAACTCTTGCTCAGTCTGTTCTTGTTCAGCCACCAAACATTTTAGGTGCTCATCTATTTCCTCTCGGCGTGCATTGTATGTACTGAGTTCCTGCTTTAAACTCTGCGGGAGAATGAGACATTTTTTCAACACCGTTCAGATGAACTTGGAATACCAATGTTAGAACAGTGTAGATATTGTAGGTAGATGAAACAAAAAGAACAATATTTGTGGCATACCTGAGTGTACTGCACTATATCCATCACGCCAGATGGGCAACTGCCATCCAATGACGGTGACCTAATGGCCAAAACTCCAAACTGTGAACATGAAGTTCGTTCCAATCCTAAACTGGGAGTTGGAGTCACCCCTGGATTTGTAGCTGAAGAAGCCACCCCTGATTGAGGTGTTGATGTTATCCTTGAGTAAGGTGTTGAACACCCAATGTCATCTCTTTCAATTGTTGGAGCAGGCGTTATGAGAATCTGAACAAGGGAATAAGTATGAAAAAGGGAATTAACGTGAGCATAAATCAGGAAGAAGTTAAAAAGTTAATACTTCCACCCAATTCACAAAATTACCTCTACATTCACATTAAGCTCGGTATACCGAGAATGAAAAACCTTGAAGGAGAAGACACCCTCGGTCTCAGGTAGGGTAAGAGGAGGAACTCTGCAGGAACCATGGACAAAGGCATATATGATTCCACTCTCAACGCTTCTTGAATCAGATTCAACGCTCAGGGTGTGGAAACACCTGGATTTTTCGTCATGGTGGATACTAGTATCCATAGAACCATCTGAATCCGTCACTTTGAAAATGAGGTGTGTAAGATTTGAACCCGCAGAACAGGACTCGGGCAGCTGATAGACACATATACAGATCAGGATAATAAGTCAGAGTATGTAGGAAGAGAGACACCAAATGACTATTTACCTCTGTTACAAGCCTTAGCTCTCGTTTCTCGATTTGAGACTCTTTCTTAAAGATCTCTTTACCATCAGACAGAACAGAGAATGAGACTGTCGAAAACAAACAAAAACACTATCATCAGAATCAGAAGATAATCATAAAAAGGAATGAGGCCAGGCAAATAGGGAAACTGAAGAGATCATGTTACCATGTTTTCCATAGCCTGTTGTGACTTTCAGAATGCCAGAGAGGTCAATGTAGCCACGACCATCAACCTATCAAATGATCAACGAAATTTAAGAGTAGCTGAAGTCAAAACCCAAACCATCTAAGAAACTGTGTCATGTACATATTGTTACAATGGCAAGAAAACTGTATATTATAAAAGATCCACTCAATAAGTCAGACAGAGAATCTTACCTTACGGTTGGCGCCCATACAGTCTTCGAAACAGTAGCCATCAGTATTTATCAGAACGGTGGTCCCTTCTGCTACGTGGTTATTGAATCCATCGAACATCTACACGAAAATTATGATCAACTTGAACTGAACGAAAACCTGAATGCTGTATAAACAACGTGCACACACCTATAAAATGTACCTCAAGAATCATATTTTCAACAGTAGAACCTGGAAGCAAGTTTTTAAAGGCTTGGGGATTATTCACTACAACACGTTTCAGAGGCCCAGGGTTCACTGAAACAAGAAAAAAAATTGTTTAAAGGAAACTAATTACATAAAGACTTAACCAGTAATATAGAAACATAGAAATTTAGCTTACGTTTACAAGCAATCGAGACACCTAAGAGTTTGTCCTGTGCGCGTATCTCCAAGGTTGCATCATAATTGGGGCTGATCTGGTCTAATCCATCAGTCTCAACGAGCATTTTCTGCATTACGTTCAGAACCACAAAATGAACTTTCCAAATAGAATAACAAAGGTGGATGGTAATGTTCTAATCAGCCCTCGCTTAACATTAAGCATGGAAATAGCAATGTACCTTGATCATGAGAATCAATCCTCCATCTTTCAGGTTGGCCTCAAAGTCATCAATCTTGAGCTGAAATCCAGGGTTGGCTTTCAATTCAACTTCCAGGCTTGGAACAGAAGTGAACTTTATCTGATTGTCATACTCATCAAAGCGGGTGATGCCGAAAGGTCTAAGACACGAACCAACCCTGAAGAAACACAATTATACAGATGAAGTTCTACATTCCAAAATTTCAGGTGGAGGGAAGTGACAAAGGTTTGATGTATATGTATGCCACTTCTGTAGAGTTTGCGAGTCTTACTGAATATTGCACGGCTGGGGTTCCAGACTATCATCAAGTTTCCACATTGCTTCCTTTGAAGACGGTCTAACAACAACCGTTTTGTTACACCTAATCGAGTCGCCCTGAAGGTAAAGTATTTAGGAAATTACACTAAATGATTACTCGAAAAAAAATTAACTGGCAAAAGGAAAATTACTTACGACAGAGAAAGTAAAGTTGTAAGTGCCAGCTTTCTTGAAGAGGTTGGGAAACTTGGACCCAAAGGGGAAGATGTAAAGACCACCAATCCCTTTACGGGATGTAGGAAACGAGCGCTGCGAACAAACCGATTTGGCAACCTTAGCACTTGGTTTCGTATTTGGGTCTGCCAATTTTACTACCATGACCATTTCTTTATCCTCTATGTTAACAATATGCTTCTGGTCCAATTTCTTTGACGGTGTAACAGATGTGAAGCATGCAGGTCGGATAACTGCTACAATCTGTTGCGGGGGAACTTTTCCAACACGCACAGAACCGCCAACTGGTAATTCCTGTAACATATTGATATAGAAAACTTTACTCTCTGTGAAAGAAAGAGGTGGAAAAAATTGCATACTGCCATTATATACGCAAAGGAAGTTAACTTCGAACTCTATCACTTAATCTGACTTCACTGCTTATAGTAAATATTGACACTTTCTTACCCCATCAATGTTCAGTTCTCTGCAATCTCTCTCATCCAACAAATCAATTTTTGACGGTGCCTTTTCCTGTTGCTTTTCAAGTTTTCTAGTCCATTCCTCGGCATCTGCATGTAGGCACTGTACAAAAACGTTTCTCAGATTGAAATTCTTAACTGTATGCAAAAAGAGGAGAATGATCAAAAGAAAAGGAAATAGTTAAGTGTTTGACCTTTCCAGAGTCGATTATAGTAATAGGCAATGATAAAGACTTCTGAAGTTCCAGTCTCCAACTTCCATCGGTGGATGAAAGCTGGCATCTTTCTTTCTCAGGGCAATCGATAGGCCTAAAATTAATACTATAAGACACAGAGCTACCAATAAATACTCAAAACTTAGTCAGATGGAAGAAAAAAATTCACCTGCATAAAATCCGAGTATCACCTGCTCAGAAAACATAATAAAAAGAAAAGCTTTAGCCATAATGAGAACAAAACTAGATTCCATTTGTAGTTTAAATGATGGTGGAGATGTACAAACCGCCTGCCTCGTCCTCAAACCCTTCTATTAGAAAATAGTCAATGGTAGCATAGATATTATTATTGTGAACCCCAGCATACGCTCCTCTCAGAATCTTTATATTCTGGCCACGTTTCCACAACATTCCTTTTCTCTTAACTACCTTGTGCACCCTCACAGCTAGATAACAAGAGCATTGGAAGTAATGAGTACCCAAATAAGACAAGGTGATGAACTTGGAAATATGAAAAAAGAAAAATCTTTCTCATCTATGAAAAGCTAATACATACCATCACGCGAAATGCAAAGAGCCTTTTTATCCAAGGATTCAAGAACGAGAATAGCTTCATCTTCAGCCGATGTCGCCTCTTCATCATGAGTGTCATGCATCTTCATAACCCAATCCTGATATTTCTGCTCCACTAGTGTGTTGTTGAGTTGTTTTCCTTCTCGGTGAATCACCACTTTGACATCTGCAAAACAAGATTCATTATAATCTAAAGTACCAAAAGAAGGGAAGTTTGCAGAAGGACTTTAAAGTTTGAACTGACCAGTATCCTTCTCTTTATCTGCCGATTTACTACCGAAGTTTCTTAGAGCCACTGAGAAAGGATTTTGGCTTGCAAGATCGGTCTGTAAAAAGCAAGTGCAGTGATCAGATGATAATGATCTAAATACTTCAAATAATCTAGGATAGTGTTTAGCTCACTTTGGACGGCGTTGGGCTAAAACCAGCATCCAAATCTGCAACCAAGGAGTGTATACATTCATAAGACAATAATAAACCAGAGGTGCATATACAAACTGACTATGCATGAGCACTTCGTACCAATAAAGCATTTTACTCTTCGGCAAGATTTCTGCAAAGTAGACGCTCTGGCACCTCTTTGCATAAACGGTATTGAATCCTTACACATATTAAATGGTAACACACACAACGCAATAAGTGATGTGATGGTCTTTTTTCAAGCACATTTTAAGAATTTCATGTCCTACACACCATAGTTAGCATGCTAATGGTGACAAGTGACAAGAGAACTAACCCAACGGATTTCTGGAAGTAGACGACCAAGCCTTCTTATTGAAACACGACCAAAAGTCTGGAAGTTTTCGGAAACTTTGCATCCCTCCTCTTCTAGTCCCTTCAAAATTTCATCGATGCTTTCTTTTCCCTGTAGAGCTTATAACGTGTTCATTTAAAAAAAGGTGACCAAAGGTAATGTTTGCTTTTTCAGGAAGGACTGTCATACCTGGACGACTGGAAAATAAACAAATTTGAGGCGAGCATTTGCCTCTTGAGGTTTCCCTGGAAGACAATTACATAGTCAGGCTCCAAAAAAGACATAAATTTTTGGGATCTAAAGAAGAGTTTTTACCTTTTCGTTTTTCACTTGTGAGACTGAATCGAATCTGAAACGAAAATTCTTCACCCTTGGAGTTTAGGTTGGTAATGGCAACCTCACCACCTGCTATCTCAGCTAAATCTGCTCCACAGACCTGGAATAGTAATACATAGTTATTTAGCTACAAAGGATACTCTTAGTAATACAAACGAGGATTATTTAGTTAATGATGATAATGACAAACCTCGAACTCTACAGGCCTTTCAGTCCTCCCAGTTTCGGAAAGTTCGTCACACTACAGGTTGATAAAACACATTAAAAGAGCAGTGTGACATTTGATTAGAACCAAGACAAATGGTCAAAGGAAGAACTACTAAAAAAACTTATATTAGCGAACAGGAATTCATCCCTATTTTATAGCACAGTACTTTCAAGCAACATTGGACCTAAAACCGATCAGCTAAACTCCAAGCAATAAACACGTACAGTATTACGACATATTCTATTATTGATAACCTAAGAATACCTGAATGTAAGGAAAGTAAATATCCTTGAGCTTGCACTGTAGTTGATATATTTTCGACATGTCGAATTCTGATTCAAATATCTCAACCTAGAAAGAAAATAGAGTAGGAGTTTCAGCTTAGCATCGATAACATATCATAGCTGCAGTTTCATGAGAGTAAATGTGCAAAGCTGTAAAGCAAACAGTGATATATAGGACTAGAAACAAGACCAAAAGGCGGCACAATCTGATCATTGGAGTAATGTTACTAACTATGAACATAACCTTCATTAAAAGGGAAAATCAAGAAATCAAACTATTTCAGATTTCAGAAACAAGAATGTTGGTCTCATAGACAGTGAACTACTCAGAACAACAAAACTGAATTTGCTTCTGCATCTCTAATAGTATGTACTATGTCATGGTTATCATGTCACATGGGGAACAAGGACAAGAAATTTAGAAAATGATGAACCTTTGTGAAACTTCCATGAGGCGATAACTCAATTTCTTCCTCTGTCGGGTCCCTCATGCCACCACCAGTCTATACAATTAATTCAGAATCAAGTATTTAGGAAACGGTAGCAACCACAAGCGAAAGAGAAGCCAAACTTATAAATGATGAATCATATTACCTTCCAGTGTTTTCCCGAGATTGAGCGGTTGTCAATCAAGGCTTCCTTCTCGTATTGCAAAGTGAATACTTTCTTGGACTCTTTCGTCTTAGCAGACACCAACGTACGCCTAATACAGGAAGAGAGTTAAACGCAACATGATAATGCAGAAGATAATAGGTTGACTAAAGAGAAGCTGAATTTGCACCTTCCCAAGTACATACAAGCATAAGGACCTCCATATCCAAACATCCCAAAGAATGGCTACATATAAAAAGAGTGAATCTTCTTTAGATCAGTAAAATAGCAGGTAGTGATACAACGATTAGTCCAAACTGATATTTTAAACACAAACTTTATAAATTGCAAGAGGAAAATGAACCTAAGCTATTTTCCACTAGTGAGTTACCTTAAGGTATGGTGGTTTGCCTCCAATAGCAAGGGTCTTTTCAGATCTATGTAATGATCCCCCTATTTTTCCCCTGCACAATATAAAACAAACATGAAGAATGTTCAAGTTAACACCAACCAACTAAACCTGCAGTATCAAACAGAACTTGCTTGCAGTATCAATCTTATTAATGTATAAACATGTGAAAGCTGTATACTTGTATGTTCTATAGCAATTTCTCAGTTCATAATCATAATTCAATAGCCGTCCCACGTATTCATATGAATTACCAATAACTTCCATGTTTTGTCAGCATTTGAATGAAAATGAAAAAGAAATCTCACCATTTGACAATAGCATTTTCCTCACTACTGTCCATTCCTCTCCCAGTATCAAAGACTGAAATCTGATCACCAGAAACATCCACACTACAAAAACAATCACATGAATTGAAGGATCACACTCAATTTTGTTCATCTAACCTCTAATGACAAGTACAAACCTAATCCGCCTTCGCTCTCCGGGGGAACAAGACCACACAGCTTGCAAAGAATTATCCTGCGAAATAAACAAAACGAGCACTCGAGTTCAATACCAGGAATAGATGAGAAATCTAACACACAGTCAACCCCAATTTCATCTTCTTATCCTGAGAACATTTACAAACTCTGGAACAGATGTATACCCCAATTTCATCAACAGATCCATACAAATAATGTAAAAATCATGTTAGCAGTTGACACAACAAGGATGCGATATTGTCACCACTCAACGGTTTATAACACGGCACAATGTCCACTTTGAACAAGCACAAACACACATAAATTTCCCATAAGGCGTTTCACTTTTTAACTCAATAACACTGAAACACTTACTATTAGATCCGCAAGAGCTGTCTCAAAGGTATAATTTTCAGGTTGCTCTTTTAGAAGATCAGTGTCAGGTGTCAAATCCCACAAGTTCTGCAAAACCAAGAAACATACCAACCTAAGGAGACAAAGATAGAGCAAGTGTATATGTTTCAGAATAGTAATACTGACCTCATACATGGTAGAACTTGTACCAGAGCCGTCCTGATCCAAAAGTAGACACACAGAACATCAGAAAACAAGAAGACATAAATAATTCAGAAACATATCTCAGTCTTGTCTGGTTATTCTCATGAAATAAATATATTATGAACACTAGAAAGAGAAGGTCACTAAAAACAAACACTGGAACAATAGCTGAATCACATTTTAACAGAACCAAGTGGGAAAAGAAACTCACATCAAGACGTATTATATGGCACGAGTTGGGCTTGAACGCAGCAAAGCGAACCATTCCTTTCATCTTTTCACCATCTGACTCGAGAAGAAACGTCGCTCCCAAGTTCCAATTAACCCTTCTCCTCTTAGTCATCAGCAAGCATTTTTTTCTTGCTTTCTCATACTCCTCCTTCACCAGGTCGACAAAACTCTCCATGGGCATCTCAGGTTCTGGATTAGTAAGCGTGAGGAGCACATTGGTGCTGTTAGGTAAGAGGACGTTGAAGCTGTAAACGACATCCTCTTCATCATCCTCATCTAGAATCAATGCTCTCTTCGCCGATCTCCTAAAGCTCATCTGAAATGTGAAGACAAGATTCAACATGAAACAGAATAACCTTGAAGCTAAACATGGAATGAAAACCAATGATTCCTAAAAGCAGCAAACAAACGATCCAATGATAAAAACACAAACTTTATTCCTCGTCTCTAATCAGTTCAAACAAGTGTTGAAGGCATACACTGCTTCAGATTTGTTAATTTCAAATTAAGTTAGTAACTTGTGTATATTGGGAATTGTTTACTGACTTACAAGACAAGTAATTAAAAAAGCTTCATATATATAATATATACAAGAACCGATGCCGTGAGAGTTGAGACATCATCTCTGTGGAAAAAGATGAGACATCATCTCTGTGGAAAAAGAAAGAAAGAAACGGTTCAAGAGTCCTAACAAAACATAAAAGCTTGTGCATTTCTAACAAAAGAATACAACAACACATGTAAAAGACTAAAACTTTAACAAAAGCAGAGGCATTAGCTTCGTACAAAAATACTAATAAACTTGTTAAGAAGAAGACTAAGACTATATAGTAAAGTAGAGGCATTTATTAGAGTATCTTATCCTGAGACAACTAAACTCAACTTTTTAGGGTTTGGTTGTCTCAATCAAATCTCCGATCAAAGGGAAACCGAACATTCAAAATCTAACCTAATCAGATAAACCAACAAGTGAGGCCACAGAGAGAGGAAAGGAGATGAGAAACAGTACCGTTCGTTCGCCTACGAAGAGATGTCCAAAGCTCAGGAAACCAAACCTGTCAGAAGACAAAGAAGACGATGAATGAAAGAAACCCTTTTGAACCGAACATTTGAACCTTAAAAGGATCGATTTTTCCACACAAAAAAAAAAGTTCACTTTTTTGAGAAGCTGTAAAGACGCAGGTTTCAGAGTCGAACAAAAATCAAAACCTTTTAAAGGAAACAAAAAAAAAATCGAGTTATTTTGTGAAGAGTGAATGTGAGAAGGAAAAAGTTTTCGACTTTTTTTTATTTTCTCGTTCTTCTGATTAAACGGTGATGATGTTACCTTTGATGCGACTCTGTTTCTGAAAAACCCCAGAAAGAAAAGGGAGAGGGATGCTTGCTTAGCAGTTCACACTAAACGACAGGGTAGCGTTGTGAGTGAGTGAGAGAGAAAATAAAGTAGGAAGAGATTTTAAAGAGTGAGAGAGAGTGAGTGAAAGCTTCGGGCACACGCAGTTCTTTCTGCCACTGCTGCCAACGTCATCACCATTTCTTATTGGTTTGTATGTATTATCGGCCTGACATCACTTAGGTGTAATGTTTGTATTGGATCATTCAATTTTATTAAAAAAAGGTTGTATTGATTTATCAAAAAAGAAAAAAAGCAAGAGAGATATTCCAGCTGTTAACCATAGTTAGTTGTGTGTGTATTTTCTTTCCTTTTACAAAGAGCTTGTTAACCGGAGTTATAACTGTGTTCAATAAATGTTTTAACTAGGTAGGTGGTTTCAAATAGATATACTACTAGTAAGTTTTGATTAAATGTTACTAATCTTAGTTTTAAAATTTAGATAGCTATATAAAGCTCAAAATTTGACGTATTTGTATAACGCTTAATATGGTATGTATAATCTAAAAGAGAGACTCCGTTATCAAATAATAACCTAGAAGATGAATAACCTTTATTTACAAAGGATGTCATTGGTTTTTTAACTTTGTCTTTTACAAACTCCTCTTTGCACATTAATAAAAGAAACAATAGTCTCTTATAGTCTCTTCTTTCACTACATTAAAGGAAGTAAACCGGTACTCCTCTGGTTTAATTAGTTCCATCAAATGTTGAAGCCAAACCGGCTTAATACCAACCAAGCTTTGAGCTGTTTTTCTGGCCTAGTGTATCTTTTTTTTTTGTCATTTGTTTTTTGGTCAAATCAATGTGTCTTCTTCTATGTGTGTATACAACACAACTAAACTCAGAGAGATACTCCATTATTAAATAAAAAATTCTCAAAAGATGAAGGACCTTTATTCAAATAAGAGCATTGGTTTTATCTTATAAGTTATTACAAACTCCTCTTTGCATATACCAAAAGAAAGAAAAAAAAAGATTTACAATGCTTATTTGACTGGTCTCATACTTCATAGCTTCCTCCCTTCCTCCTTTGACTACGTTAGAATGAAGTAAACCGGTATTCCTCTGGTTGAATTCCGTCAAATGCTGAAGTCAAACCGGTCTGGTATAAACTAAACAAACCCATCTTCCGGATATACTCTCCCACAATTTCTCCAACAATGTATGAAACTCCAGAAGAGAAAACAACAATAGACGTGTAATAAACAGCAGATTTGAGATAAGGTTTAGGCGATGCACGTACGTTAACCGGTTTCCGGACGTAGACCTTAATCATACCGAGCATGATTGCACAAACCAGAGAAACCGAGAAAACCGAGACAAGCTTGTAGTTCTTGATTCCGGTTTGGTAGAAAGAAAATGCGTAAACCAAAGGAGCAATTAGGCCGAAGAAAATGTAAGACAGGACCGCTACTAACACATGCATCCGAATGTTGTCACGTCTCCCTAACAACTTATTGTACCGATCTTTCTCTTGATCTGAATGGTTTCTTAGATCTCGAAGCTGCAAGAACAAACCGGAACCGGTTATAATCAAGAAATCGGTTAATTATGTTTTTAAGGGCTTAGAGTCGTTACTTACGTTTTGAGCAAGGACAACAAGACCACCGGCCATGTTTGCGACCGCAAGAGCCAATATATTCTCTGAAACAATTAAAGTTCCATATCAAATCATCACGTAAAATAAGGACCAATTAGATGATCGGTGGTGACATACCGGTGGAAGATCCAGAGGCAGAGGCGGAAGATACAACGACGAGGCTGGTGATAGTCTCGGTTAGACCACCATACACGGTGCTCTTCAATAGCTCAACGGTGAATCTTTCCCGGTCCAGTTTATTTTGAGGTGGTGATTCTGTGGTGTTAGTGTTACCACTCTTCCCAGGCTCTAAATGTACTTCAACTATATACAAGTGTAGATAGTATGATTCTTCTATAGTTTTATTTCCTTGTGTTTTTGTGATTAGAATTAGATATTACTTATCCCAAAAACAATTAATAATTTTCTTGATAACGTACCTGGCTCCTCAACATGTTTTCCCATTACATACTCTCGTTGTAAGAACTTAGTTCCTGAAATTTAGTAGTAAGAACATGTGTTCACGTTTGAAAACCAAAGAGATTAATATGAGATGAAACCAGTTCAGAAAAGAGTTTGATTTACCTAATTTGATGTAGTCCTTTAGACAGGTCAAGCAAGCAAAAATATAACCGTCCTTTGTATTTTCTTTATCATCATTCTTGATAAAAGTGTCAGGGGCATGCGGCTTAACCGGTGGTTCAACCTCAATGTCGCTTCTTGATTCATAAGATGTCAGATCCGCATAGAAATCAACGAGCTTCCCATCTTCCTTTTTCCTAATAATCACTTTTCTGGTGATACAAGAACTACAGCTTGGACAATAAAGCTCGTACTTTTCTTGTGTCGCAAGCAATGTCTCTAGGTTTGATTTTTCTTCTGACTCAGATGATGTTATCTCGCTGTTTTTCTCTTTCTCTTCTTCCTCTTCTTTGTCTTTTTCTTCTTCTACTTCTTTGTCTTTGTCTTTTTCTTCTTCGTCTTCTTTATATTCTTCTTCTTCTTCTTCTTCTACTACTATCTCATCTTCCTCTGCGTCCTGGTGCCTTTCGTTCTCTACATTAGGTAAGTTTGTGGAGCTCGACTCTAACCAATTATAACCGGTTTCTTCGTTTGAAACGGGTTCATTATGTGAACCGGTTTCACTCATACTATCCGGTATTATTGGATCTGAACTGGAAGATACCGATCCTAAGCTTTCATGAACAGACGTGTTCCCTACGAGACCTAATTAATCAGGACACACGCAAACGATAAATTGGTCTACCGGGTTATGCATGATTGTGTCCGGTTAAGAGAAAGTAGGTGTAATTTGACAAATTCTAAAATTAATAGACGAAATTGGAAATTGAACATTTTAAAGTACCGTAATAATAAAGAAAAAACAAAAACAAAAACAAAAAAAGACAAAAATAAATGAAAAGGGGACAGGTTGACTAATACCTTGAGATCCATCATTGTCCTCCTCTTGATCCTGCTTCTCGGTTGTGTTGTCCTGTTGCTGCTCCATCGTCGGTGTCACCTTTGCCGCCGCATTTAATCGATTTTTTCCGGCGGGAACATTATCTTTGCCAAATCTGAAGGTCTCGAGAAGATCCACCAATAAATCTGAATCTACAATTTCACCCTCCCCAAACCAGTTTCCATTAGCTGGTCGCTCCAACTTCTTCATATAGACAAAGACCACAATGTAAGGAGAGTTCAGTTTTTGCTACTTTTTATTCTTCCTCCCGAATCATCTTATATCTTTATATATATAAACCTAAAAATATTCCCACGAGTGAAGCACGAGGATTTAAATATATTTGTTACTCTATTAGTGTATATAGAGTACCGGTTTAGTGTAACTGATTAGTTAACCGGTTTACCATTATTTTGTGATGTATATAAAGAATTCCTTGTACATTGTTTATGATTAATGAGAATATCAATGTTTACTCATATGGTATCAGAGCGAATCTTTCTCATTCCGTAACAAACTTTCCGTAACAAACTTTTCCGTCGGATTCTCACCGGAATCTCGCCGGATTCTGTTCACCGATCATCGTTTCCTCGCCGTTTTACATCTCTCCTCGTTCTCCTGTGCGATTCAAGCTCTCTCTTTCGCTGAATCGATCATCAATGGGAAAGCGAAACTGTAAATCGAAGTATCGTTCTACTCATCCCAATTCGCCGGTCGAAGGTTCTCCGATCTCTCCGCTGAATCGTGGTGAAGCGTCTCACTCAAATCCAGCTCGTCAACCATCGGAGTCTCTATCTCCAAAATCCGGTGATGCTGCTCGATTCGTCAACAATCGATCCAATGTGATCTCTTCCGCTACGCGTTTTGAGGTATCCAATAGCCCTGACAACATTCATTCGCCGTATTATCTACATAATTCCGATCATCCTGGCCTAGTCTTAGTCTCAGAACCGTTAGATGGGAACAATTATGGAATCTGGTTGATTGCTATGACTACTAGTCTTGAAGCTAAGAATAAGCTAGGTTTCTTGGATGGATCGATTCCTAAACCTCCGGAGAATGATCAATACTTTAGGATTTGGTGCCGTTGCAATAGCATGATCAAATCTTGGTTGCTAAATAGTGTTTCTAAGAAGATCTACACTAGCATCCTTTACATCAAACATGTTGCTGATATCTGGAAAGATTTGCACACTCGTTTTCACAAATCAAATCTTCCACGGCTATACAAACTTCGACACCAGATTCATTCATTACGTCAAGGGAGTCTGGATCTATCCTCATATCACACACAAACGCAGGCTCTATGGGAGGAATTAATCAGTATTCAACCACCTGCATCTACAGTTGAAGAGTTCTTAGCTGAAAAAGAGACTAACCGTGTTATTGATTTTCTTATGGGATTGAATGAAAGCTTTGAGAGTATTCGCAGCAGGATCTTAATGAAGAAAAGTCTTCCTTCTTTATCAGAGGTGTTTAATCTCCTTGATCAAGAAGATAGTCAGAGAGATGCTTCTGCTCAACCATCTCAGGATCTCTCTACTACAGCCTTTCATGTTTCTCAAACCTCAGAACACGGTACTCTCTCTCAATCTCAGACTTCGTCTTCAACTTCTAGTGGACCATCTGGGGGATATATCAGGAAGGATAGACCGTTCTGTACTCATTGCCGTCGTCCTGGACATGTAGTTGATAAGTGCTATAAAAAGCATGGCTATCCTAACAGCTTCAAGCCAAATCAGAGGACTGATAAGATTTCTGTTCCCGTCACTGCTAATGTAACAGTTGATGAAGCTGTTTCAGATGATTTGTCTCCTACTCAGATTCAACAACTCGTGTCCTTTCTCAGCAGCAAACTTCAGAGTCCTATGGATCATCCTAAACCCGAGGTTCACTCTGTCTCTGTTTCCGTGCCTTCTTCATCAAACACTTGCCCAATTTCCGGTACTTTCATTCCTTCTATCCTTTGTTCTTTTTCCGGAATTGATAGGCCTTACATTTGTTCAACAAACACTCATGTTACTGCCATTAACGCTTGGGTGATAGATTCAGGAGCAACTAATCATATCTCTCATCAAAAATCATCCTTCACTTCCTTTAAACCCTTACCTGATACTAATGTTACCCTTCCTAATGGAGTTCTGGTGAATATTGTTGGAATAGGAAACATTAGTCTGGGTAGTCACATAGTGTTAACTGATGTCTTGTACATACCACAGTTTAAGTTCAACCTCCTTAGTGTTAGTTGCATAACCAAGAAAATGCACTGCCGTATTTGGTTTGACGAATTTTCTTGTGGTATTCAGGATCCTACACAGGACTTAATGATTGGGATGGGTAGAGAAGTTGCAAATCTTTATTTCCTGGATATAGAGTCGGTTTCTTCACAAGGTAATGTGTCTTCTTTCAAAAACCTTGTTGGGTCTGTTGTTAGTATGGAAATGTGGCATAAAAGGTTAGGTCATCCATCTCATTCTAAACTTGAAATCATGAAACCTTTGTTGTCTTTACCAAACCATTTGAATAAAAATGATCATCATTGTCGTGTTTGTCACCTTTCCAAACAAAAACACTTACCTTTTCCTTCCAGTAATACTAGAAGCACTGAACCTTTTGATCTCGTTCACATAGACGTTTGGGGACCTTTCTCAATACCTACTCATGAGGGTTTTAGATACTTCTTGACAATTGTAGATGACTTTTCTCGGGCAACTTGGGTATATCTCTTAAAGTCTAAGTCTGACGTTCTTACCGTCTTCCCTACCTTTGTCACTATGGTAGAAACCCAATTTGATAGAAAGCTTAAGAAAGTTAGATCTGACAATGCACCAGAACTCAACTTCACCTCTTACTTTCTCTCTAAAGGCATTCTATCCTTTCATTCTTGTCCTGAAACACCCCAACAAAATTCTGTAGTGGAACGAAAACATCAACATATCCTTAATGTTGCTAGATCCCTTCATTTCCAATCTCATATTCCTCTTTCTTATTGGGGTGACTGTGTTCTAACAGCTGTTCATCTCATTAACCGCTTACCCTCTCCTGTTACTGATCATAAAAGTCCTTTTGAACTCATAACTAACAAATTACCCGATTACTCTTCTCTTAAAACTTTTGGTTGCTTATGCTATGTATCTACTTCACCCAAGGGCAGGCATAAATTCGATCCTAGAGCTCGTGCTTGTGTTCTTTTAGGTTATCCTACAAGGGTTAAAGGATACAAGCTTCTTGATCTTCAAACCAATTCTATTTCTGTCTCTCGTCATGTGACATTTCATGAGGATCTATTTCCTTTTGTTGGAGTTGAATTAGATTCAGAATACCATAATTTCTTTCCTGATCTAACTTCCTCAACTTCCAACATAGATCCTTCTCCTCCTGTGATTTCAACAAATTCTGGTGCAGAACATTCTTCTTCTGCATCATTCCCGGAGGTTTTGCCTACTGCAATTCCTTCTTCTGATGTTTCTGATTCAATGGATCAAACATCTCACAGGAGAACAAAAACACCTGCTTATCTTAAAGACTACTACTGCAATGCAGCAGGGTCATCAACCATTCATGAAATTTCTTCCTTCTTGGATTATACTAAGCTGTCTCCTTTATATCTTTCTTTTCTCGTGTCCATTGATAAGATCAAAGAACCCTCAACCTATGCTGAGGCAAAGCGTCTTCTTGTTTGGGATGATCTTATGGATGCTGAAATTGCTGCTTTGGAGGATACTGAGACTTGGACGATCTGTACTTTACCTCCAGACAAAACACCAATTGGTTGTCGCTGGGTTTTCAAGGTTAAATTTCATGCCGATGGTTCTGTTGAGCGTTACAAAGCCCGTTTAGTGGCTAAGGGGTATACTCAGCAGGAGGGAGTAGATTACCATGATACTTTCTCTCATGTGGTGAAGCTTACAACGGTCAAACTCATTCTTTCTCTCTCTGCTATCCATGGTTTTTCCCTGCATCAACTTGATATATCAAACGCCTTTCTTAATGGGGACTTGGATGAAGAAATCTACATGAAGTTGCCTCCTGGATATTCTGATAGAAAGGGGGACAAACTACCTCCTAATGCAGTTTGTAAGCTTCGCAAATCTCTCTATGGCTTAAAGCAGGCTTCACGACAGTGGTTCTTAAAGTTTTCTACAACTTTAAAGACTTTGGGTTTCACTCAGACTTCATCTGATCATACATGCTTTCTCAAGACGAATGCTGGTCTTTTTCTCTGTGTTATTGTTTACGTGGACGACATCATTATATCCAGTAACAATGATACAGAGGTTGATCATCTGAAGACTCAGCTCAAGTCCTTCTTCAAACTTCGTGACCTTGGTCCTATGAAATACTTTCTTGGTCTCGAAATAGCCCGTTCTTCTGATGGAATTCATATTTGCCAACGTAAATATGCTCTGGATTTGCTTGATGAGACTGGTTTACTTGGCTGCAAACCATCCTCTGTTCCTATGGACCCGTCTATCAAGTACTCTTTAGAAACTGGTGGAGAACTTGTTGATGCAGCAGCTTATCGGCGCTTGATAGGTCGTCTTATGTATCTGCAGATAACTAGACCAGACATCACTTTTGCGGTTAATAAACTTAGCCAATATTCTTCTGCTCCGAGAGAGAGTCATCATCTTGGGGTCTTGAAAATTTTGCATTATATCAAGGGCACAATTGGTCAGGGTCTTTTCTATTCTTCCAAAGCAGAGATGCAGATACAGGCTTTTGCTGATGCTGACTGGGGGTCTTGCAAAGACACACGTCGTTCAACTTCTGGGTTTTGTGTCTTTCTTGGCTCTTCACTTATCTCGTGGAAGTCTAAAAAGCAACAGGTTGTCTCGAAGAGTTCTGCTGAAGCAGAGTACCGGAGTCTCTCAGTGGTTTCTAATGAAATTTTTTGGCTCACCAACTTTCTCAGAGAACTCCGTTTCTCTCTTGTTAAACCTTCCTTGTTGTTCTGTGATAATACTGCCGCGATTCACATTGCTCACAATGCAGTATTCCATGAACGAACGAAGAACTTGGAGATTGATTGTCACAGTGTTAGAGAAAGGATGCTTGCAGGTTACTTCAAGTTATTACATGTGCGTACAGACCTGCAACTGGCTGATCCTTTCACAAAACCACTCTATCCGGCCCCGTTTCGACGTTTATATGGCAAGATGGGTCTGCTTAACATCTTTGTCCCATCTTGAGGGGGACTATTAGTGTATATAGAGTACCGGTTTAGTGTAACTGATTAGTTAACCGGTTTACCATTATTTTGTGATGTATATAAAGAATTCCTTGTACATTGTTTATGATTAATGAGAATATCAATGTTTACTCATATACTCATTAGTACCGAACAACACCTTTGAATATTCTCTTGGTAAATTACTTCTTTTGGATTTTAGTATTATGCATGGCCGTCATGAGATTTTGAGTACTATGGACAGTTTAGTAAAGATTTATATAAAAAAGAAATTTGTATTACAAATTTGGAAGTCTATATATGTTAATTTCCAAGAACTTTGGAGGCTATAGTCCAGTAGTACTTCACGGACTCTCAATATGCAAGTCTTAAAAGTTAAACAAACTCTTTTTAACATTATAAAGTGTTATATAGTTCCCACATCTTTGATTAGAACTACTCACCCCACGTCATGATTGTTACATTACATGAGCCGCACTAAACCGAAAAAAGAAATTTCAGACGATTAAAAAAATTAGGATGTATTGTAAATTTGTAATGTATGGTCAACCCGCTAAAAACGCATAATGACAGGGTGGCGTACCCACCCAACGCCAGAGTTAGTTGGTCGTTAACTAATCATGAATATCCATATTCAAAACGTGTAGAAAGAACAACTGTTATATGCGGCCCATTAAATAAACAATGAGGCCTATATTTTGCTTTTTACAAAACAAGCCCAGAACTAAAAAATAAACTAAAATAAACTTATAACCCAATGCGTTAAAACTGGCTTTACAATTTGAGCCCATCTAAGTTTCAGTGACTTGGAAACAGTGGAGCCCACTAAATTTCACGTGGCGGAAAGTGAGGCTTTAGTTTCACATGAAGTGTGATTAACGCAGGTTGTGATCTTTTTTACTCGTCCTTAATTTTCGCGCTTTTTCTGATAGACCCTTGGGAGAATAAAAATTAAAAAACTAAAACACTTTGAACATGACTAATGAAAGTTTTTAGAGTATTTGCACTCCATATACACACAAAACCTCCTATTTAGCTTCATACCCTATTTCCCCCTTCTCTCTCCTCCCCCCCATTATTATTTTTCCCCCTAAACTAAGGCAAATTCCTAAATAACTTTTTTTTTTGGTATATTCAGCAAATTCACCCAAGTTTTTAAGATAAAGTTCTTACCAAAATATAAAATCTAACTTTTTAGTTAAAAAAAATTAAGAACTAGTAGTATTTAAATATTTGGCTTTTAATTTTTTTATTAAAAATAATAAAACAGTTTTTATTGTAATGCCTCGATCGTCCACGGCTAATGGACCACCCACACTCACATCCGCTCTTTCGGTCTGTGGATCTCATCATGTTTCAACGGTCGATCTGTTAATTTTCTTCTAGAGTCATGTTTACTAACTCTGTAATCACCACATGATATTTTCCTGTGTTGTGACCTCATTTACACAGTATAGCAAATCACTTTTCGATAAGTCACCCATCTTTTGACTGCTCCAGTTTAAACATGTTTAACTCTGGAGTTCTCCCTCGACGTGCTCCCGAAAAGATAAATGTATTTTGGTGACATAGGTAACTAAATCATTCTCTAAACTCTTTTCCAAATACCACAAACCATGCATGTTACACTTATATTCTACTAAGAATTTCATTTTAAAAATTCCTTATTAATCATGTACTTAAGGAGTAGAATTTTTTAATTCCAAGGATTACATCTTTTTGTTGTTGTTTCTAGTTTGATTTTGGAAAAATTGGTCTAAAGAAGAAATTAAATTTGATTCTGGTTCAGTTTTGAGAAGATACCGAAGTTTAGTACTAAAAATATCTAAACTTTTGAGAATTTTATTCTTCTTTTTTTTTTATATTATTTGGACAAGAAGTGTATGTATGTTACTCTGTGGTTACTTTAAAAGAAGATTTTGGAAGCATGTCGGCAAAGCTCTGAAGGATTCTTTCCGTAGTAGATAGGCCACAGGTGGTTTCAATCGAACCATCCCGAATATCCTTAAAAAAACAGCATTGTCTACTTCTTGGGTTTTTTTTTTTTTTTTTCATCCAGAAAGCTCTTTACTTTGGATCCATCAAATGGCTTCGCTTCAGATCAGCGGCGGTTCGGTTAGGTTCGAGCCACTCGTGGGATTCAACAGAACCGGTTGTGTACATCCGATCGGTAGCCTCGGTTTCCCTCATTATCGCCGGAGATTCAGTATCGGACGGCCCTTGTTGCTGCGTTGTTCTTCCGTCTCTGGAGAGTCTCAAACTGATGACATCACTGACGCTCAGAGAGATGCCTCTCTTCTTGGCTTTCAGCTCCCTCCTCCTGGTAACTTTTTTTTTTTAATTAAGTGATTAACAGTGATTTATTCACTGTTGTGTATATAATATGGTTTCAGTTTTGACAAAACGAGAATTATTTTCTCTTGAAATTTGCATTCTCAGATTTAGAGCTTCCCTTTGTCACTAATAACGTTTTAAGTTTTAGAATCACTGATCTTCAAAGTTTATGATATAAAGTAGTAAACTTTATGATTGATTTCATTTATTTTATAAAAATTCTTGATTTGATTTATTCATGAACTTTTTGGATTAGTAGTTATTTATTCACACTTGTGTATATAATATGGTTTCAGTTTTGTCAAATGAGAATGACTATCTTGAATTTTGCTTGTGGTTCTCAGATTCAGAGCTTCCCGTTGTCACTAACCATGATGTTTTTAAGTCTCAGAATCACTGATCTTCAAAGTGTCTGATATAAAGTAGCAAATTTTATGATTGATTTCATTTATTTTAAAAAATTCTTGATTTGATTTATTCATAGTCTTTTTGGATTATTATTTATTTATTCACACTTGTGTATAAAATATGGTTTTCAAATGAGAATGATTCTCTTGAATATCACTTGTGTTCCTCATAGTCAAAGCTCCCTATTATCACAAAACATAACATTTCATGTTTCAGAATCACTGATATTTTTTTCACTCTTGTACAGGTGATCAAGAACTCTTCGGCACTAGCACAAAAGAAGCTACACATCAAGAAGAGAACTCAGACGCTACTGATGAAGCAGAGATGGCTGATTTTGGTGTACCTGGCAACAGAGCTGTTGAAGAAGGAGCTGCGGAAGTTGCACACACGAGTGTCAAAGCCGAAGTGATCAACAACCTCGTTTTCGTTACCTCTGAAGCTGCTCCTTACTCCAAGACAGGAGGATTAGGAGATGTTTGTGGCTCTTTGCCGATAGCTTTGGCTGGACGTGGCCACCGTGTCATGGTCATCTCTCCTCGGTACTTGAATGGAACCTCTGCGGACAAGAACTATGCCGGGGCTAAGGACTTAGGGGTCCGTGTCACCGTTCATTGCTTTGGTGCTTCTCAAGAAGTTTCCTTCTATCATGAGTATAGAGACGGTGTTGATTGGGTAATAACCGCTAATTCACTTCTTTGCATATATCTTTTGTAGAGATTTGATAATCTTCCGTTTTTGGTACATGTTTTTAGGTTTTTATTGATCATCAATCTTACCATAGACCTGGCAATCCATACGGAGATAGTAAAGGAGCCTTTGGTGATAATCAGTTTCGGTTCACTTTACTTTGCCATGCAGCATGTGAAGCCCCTCTCGTGTTGCCTCTTGGAGGGTTCACTTATGGAGAGAAGTCTCTATTCCTTGTCAATGACTGGCATGCAGGACTTGTCCCCATGTAAACCTTTTCCTCATTCTCTTTACCTATACTTTTAAGGATTTAACTTTTGACATGAACTTAGAACGTGTATCCCCTTTTGGTTCCAGACTTTTGGCTGCAAAGTATCGCCCATACGGAGTTTATAAAGATGCAAGAAGCATTCTGATCATCCATAACCTCGCTCACCAGGTGAAAAGCATATAGTATTTCTCTTGGTATAGTGCCACTTTGCTAGCATACCGTAACAGTTGTTTCTAAAGTGTGTTGTTGTACTGTGGTTGACTAAGTTGAAAGGTTATTTGGTATTTTATAATTTGATTCTTTAACTAAAAGGGAGTGGAGCCAGCAGCTACTTACAGCAACTTGGGATTGCCTTCGGAATGGTATGGAGCGGTGGGGTGGGTGTTTCCAACATGGGCTAGAACTCATGCTCTTGACACCGGTGAAGCGGTTAATGTTCTCAAGGGTGCTATTGTCACATCTGACCGTATCATTACCGTGAGCCAGGTGAGTACTCTATTGGAAACATAATCAATCCTTAATTGCTAGTGATCACAGTAGCTAATGGTAATGATTCTCTTGTCCTCATTCTTCAGGGATACGCATGGGAAATCACTACTGTCGAAGGTGGATATGGTCTTCAAGATTTGCTTTCTAGTCGGAAGAGTGTTATAAATGGTACCTATTCTTCTTACAAACCTCATCTTGTACAAATAAACATTTTTGGGAGCTGATATAATAGTGATGCTGACCAGGGATCACGAATGGAATCAATATTGATGAGTGGGATCCATCCAAGGATGAACACATTCCTTTCCATTACTCTCTTGATGATTACTCCAACAAGGTGATGTGAACTCTTTCTTAAGTAGAAGTGTCAAAGTCTAGCAAATCCAATTCTTTGTTATAGTGATATTGACCCTTTGTGCCTGCTTTGGTGATTGCAGGTTAAATGCAAGATGGCGCTACAAAAGGAACTGGGTCTCCCCATCAGGCCTGAATGTCCTATGGTGTGATTTCAGAAGCTAAACTTTTTACTTCAATGGTATTCTGTTTAGTCTTATAGTCAGACACTCAGACTCATGTTGCTTGGCTTGTCTTAAAATCTTATTTACAGATTGGGTTTATAGGAAGACTTGATTACCAGAAAGGCATTGATCTGATCCAAAATGCTGGTCATGATCTCATGGTGGATGACATTCAATTCGTAAGTGAGTCTTTTGAACGTATTTTAAGTGGAACCCAAGTGACTGCTGCTATAATTACACATTTTTGTCATGTCCTATTTATTGCAGGTCATGCTTGGTTCAGGTGACCCAAAATGTGAAAGCTGGATGAGAAGTATGGAGGAAACATACAGAGACAAGTTCCGTGGTTGGGTTGGGTTCAATGTTCCCATCTCTCATCGCATCACTGCCGGGTAATTAAAAAGATTCTCTAGCTTAGAGTCAATTCTTTAGACTTGCCACAAACATTTCATTGGCTTTTGTTTGTTTGTTTTTGGTGTAATTTCTGTAAAACAGATGTGACATTCTTCTGATGCCTTCAAGATTCGAACCATGTGGTTTAAATCAGTTATACGCAATGAGATATGGAACTATTCCAGTCGTTCATGCCACCGGAGGACTTAGAGTGAGCTTTTCAAATTGTTTTGTCTAGAACAGAGAATGGTTTGATAGTTCATATAGAGCAATGACTTTATAATACTGGATTGTTATGTTTTCAGGATACGGTTGAGAATTTCAATCCTTATGCAGAAGGTGGAGCTGGTGCTGGTACAGGGTAATACATTATTCTGTTACTGATCAAGTTCATATGAGTTCATGTGATCTTATAAGTATCGTTTTGTGGGTTTAATGTTTCAGATGGGTTTTCTCTCCATTGTCAAAAGATAGCATGGTGTCGGTAAGCTTATCCTCATCAAGATTTGTGGTTATGTTTTTGAAGTTGATACAGGTGAAATGACCATGTTGTGTTACTTTGCTTTTTAGGCATTGAGGTTGGCTGCAGCAACGTACAGAGAGTATAAAGAGTCATGGGAAGGATTGATGAGAAGAGGAATGTGCAGAAACTATTCTTGGGAAAACGCTGCCGTTCAGTACGAGCAAGTGTTCCAGTGGGTTTTCATGGACCCTCCCTACATCAAGTAGATCCAATCAAAACACATACAACCGGTTGGACCGGATCAGACTTGACCAATTAGAAGGAAGAAAATGGTCTTGTGAAAGAACCACCTCCTCTTCCGGTTATTGAAAATCTATGGTTTTCATTTGCACAATGAACCATGTATCTGTGTCATATATATATATAAAAATTGTAGCTATGGTTTTTGTTCAGGGAGGTATAGGATTCTAGTTATGAGGAGGCATTACTTTGGTTTTATTTATCGGTTTATGGCGATAATTTCTTATCTTTGAACTTTATATCTACTAGTGACAGATCCCCCGCGCAAGCGCGGGGTTATGATCATTGTTTTGATTCATAACATAACCAATCCTCTAATCTCTCTGTGTCTTCTCATTATTTGATGATTTGACTTCAACATCTTAAGAACAAAACAGAGTCCATTCTTTTAGAATATGTTGATGTCCCAAATTATCACTAAAGAAGCTGGTGAGGACTATTTGGGCCTATCACCTTCCTTTGTTTTCCATGCCTTGTTGCACTGTCGTGCCCTTGTTGATCCATTTGAGCTTAAAAATAAGAGTTGTACAAACAAACCAAACTTGAATGGTGGTAGGTGTTTGACAAAGTGTGCATTCTTGCTTCTCATTGCACCATTCCATAATGCAGCTCCTGCACATGAAAGATGACCCTTTCAATATAAGCAAAATGTTTCAGTGTCTTTGGTATCAATGAGAACACACCTTTAAAGCAAAATCTATTTTGAAGGATGTCCCACTTATGTGTTTGCCAAATACAATTATAATTTCCTTAAACCCATTTACAATGATATGCATATGCCAAAATATAAAGTAAATAAGACTATGGGTATGATAGTTAAAGTAAATCTCTTCAAATTATGTACAAAAAAAAATTCAACGCATAATTTATTTTAACTAATAACATATATTGATATGTTTCAGAAAATCATATATTGATATGTTTTATTTAATTAAAAACATAGTCAGAAATAACTATTGTTGCATCAACCTTTAGGGGTCTCTTGTTCAACTATTAGTTTAAGCTAATTTTAAAGTTTAAATATATAACTTACTTCTAATTTTTTTTTGGGATCACAGTTGTGATCACAATGACAGATTGCTGCAGCTTTGTCCCATAACGACAAGTAGACCCCTATTGTGCTGTTATGTAGTTTTATAAATTTACTACTATAAAGATGTCATGGGGGAGAGTTATTGGCAAAGTGAGAACTATTTGTGTACTTACGGGGCAATGAGGAAACGGATGAAAAGTCGGCTCATTACTTCAGCGTTCTTAAGGCTACCATACGATGTTGCGTTCCAACTGCAGTTTAAATCACATAAAATGTTAAAAAGGTGTGTTCAGTCGTTTAGCCTTGTTTTTTTTTTTCTTTCTTTAAAAGACAATGGTGTGTGTATAATGAGGCCACTCACTTTATCTTGGATCCTTGATTGCAATCCGGTGGGTAGTTTTAGGTCCTTCTTTGCCCACACAACACTCACTTGTCTGATTCCAAAGAAGAAGGCGTGCAAACAGACATATATATAACACACCACAAATCGAAAAGGAAGAAAGTTAACCATGGTTTAAAAACTCAGGCGGGGGATTTGAGTTTCTGGAAACAGATTGAGAATCATGATATGCTTCCTCCCTGAGAAGGAAAGGTGATGTTGTCCATATCAACTGTGCTTGTTGGCCAGAAATCTTCAGAGACGCTCGGTTTCTTAACCAATTGAGCTATAGAACTGGAAAGTGGATCATTTAGAGGAGTTTCAGTTGATCTGGGTTCTCTGTAGCAAGCCACGCAGCCATTGCTCTGTTACAAAACCCCACACAAACTTGTTTATTTTTTCCGTACCTACCAGCTATTGTTTTTTTTTTCAGTTCAAAACTTCGTGTTTGAATAAAGCCAAAACAATCTATACTAAGGCTTATCTAGCATGTAAATAATCTCAAAATCAGAATCAATCAAATACCACCAATAGAATATGCATAAGGCCAAACACAGAGATTGGAAGAAGACTCCCACCCATCGGTCGAAGTAGAACGATGTATTGACTCCGATAGATCTGGAAGCTCAAGTTTTTTTACAGGGAGTAATCAATGATCCTTCTCAAATAACACCAATCAACAAATATGTCTAGAATCGCCCCTTCTGGACCTTTAGGAAAGTATTTGGGCTTGATCTGATATACCATACTCCACAAGGGCAGCATCCACGGATCAAGAGTTTCTTCTACCTCAAAAATAAAGAAAACACCAAAACCGAAAATTTAGTATTCAAACACTTAAGACATTATAGTACTAAACAAGCAGCAGGAAGAACGTGGATACTACATTTTCCACTGATCAAATGGTTCATTTGCTTCAAAAGAATAAAGGGAAGAACAAATTTGACAGAATCATTATTTTCCTCAATAATATACTGTTCCATACCCTGCTGGGTGTTGATCATCTCCTAGACCTTTCTCGATAATGATTGTGGCCCCAAGATGTAGTAATCTTTTGTCTAGATTCTTAGCTACAAACTAATAGCCATCAGAAGTAAATAATGTCATGAATATTTTTGGTAGAGAACAATAATTCAGACGCATCTCAAGATTTCTGGTTGTGGGAATCTTTAGTTAGTTAGTATACGTATTCCTAGGTAAAGCCTACTTTTTATTTCATATTGATGAATACATAAAAACAGAACCAGAAATAAAATGTATGTTTAGAAGAACGTGAAACAGATTACATAAAGTGGCAGATGCACTTACCTTGTACTTCTGGTAACCGGAATCACCTAACCAAAACACTGCAAAGCAAACTCGTAGAAACCAAGAGTTTCCCAAGTTTTCTTGAAGAAGAAACCTCCAAAACTCCTTCAGTGATTAAAAAAGAGACAAGGAACAAACTAAAAACTGCATTATTGGTAGTGAAAATTGACGACGAACCTTAAAAGAATCTCGAGAGTCTCCTTGCCCTGTAGTGAATACAATATAAACAATATCCTTCTCATAAGGTAAGGAACCCTGGAGAAAAGAATATGGAAACTTTGAATAAGAATTAAGATATAAAGGAAAACGCTTTTATATGTTTACTCGAAATCCAATCAACAAAACCACTCAAATCTAAGAGCTGATTACAACAATCATCGGTTCAAAGTGATCAAACAGAGGAATTATCACGGCTTCCTTCATATTAGACATCTGAAGCAAACAATCTTCAAAATATCAATATCGTAAAATCTCGTATACAAATATTAACGGAATACAAATATACAGTAGTTTACCTGATGAAAAATCTCGTAGATTTAACATGAAGCTGCTTTCTTTTTTCTGAGGCTCCAGAAGCTTCTTCACGAAGAAGAAGAAGAGATCGGGCTCTGCTCTTCACGTTTTCTTTTTTTTCTTTGGCTTTGAAATAATTGCTTTTTGTGAAGAATCAATATAAATACGTTGAAGGATAGGGGAACCTAGGAGTTGAGAGAAGAATTCATTATCTCTGGAGTGAAAGATCAGCGGAGAGGGCGAAGTGGAAGAGACGAAGAATCGTTTGTGGTGAATGATTAAACCAACACGGAGAATCAAAATTAAAACGCGAGAATTAATTAGCAAATCAAACCAAACGTGGGGCCCACATCTGCCTGCTTACGTGGACACCTTAAGGAGTCTCAAAACTGTACTATTATTATATAGATTGACTAAGGTCGTAGTCTTTAAAACTTGAGAAAATAGATGGGTAATTATTGATAATGATATGATTACATAACCAAATAATTAGATGAAACTTGAATGATATAAGATGAGAATGAGTAGGAGAGCAGTAAGTAACACACAAATTGAAAAGAGAAAGAAAACGTAAAAATATAAAATTTTAAAAAGTCCATTAGGGAGACGTGCTTACCTGATTCAATCAAACATTATCGTTCGAGCACGCACGATCCTACTTCTCTATGATTACCAATTTACCATATAGTAGTACTATATTAGGGGTTCACATTTTCAACAAAAGCATTCCTTTAGTTGACCAATCAGTTCACATTTGATTGAGAAAAGTATATGATGAACAATGATTGTCTTCTAACTATTATTTTTCCTTGAAACTTTTAGCAACGTATTACTCCATCGATTAAAAGGCCTTTAACTTACTATAGATTAATATGTAGAAACATTCATTTTATATGTTTCTTTATAGTTGAAAAGTTGAAATTTTCATTAATTAAATAAAAAGAGAGAAATGATGAACATAATAATGAGTTAGAGCGAAGGTTGCTCCGGAATTGAAGGGACAAAAGTGGGGCGGAGTCAATAATATGTCTGATTGATATTACCAAACTCAAAACTTCACTTTCTTCCTCTAATCACTCTCTCCGCTTTCTCGCTTTCCTCTCCCACCTTTGGTCGTACGTCTAAACATAAAAACACAAGTCTTTATCTCGGTGTGGTCTTTAAATCCCTCATTTTTCTTGCAATCATACATATCCTCTTGACCAAACAAAAGCAAGGCTTTGAGTGAGAAACCTCAGGTTAGTTTCTTGAAATCTTCTGCCAATCCCATTTTACCCATTTTTTTTGTTCTTCTTTGTTTTCGTCTGGTAATTTCAGTTTCAAGGTTGAGACTTTTGATGACTCTGTACTCCTTTTTTTTTTTCCTTTAGTAATCTGTAAACTTGAATTGGATTTTTTGATAGCTCTGTTCACATGGTAGAAGAACAAGTTGAAGTTTTTTCAATGTTCTTGATTGTTGGTTTTAGGGTGTGAATGATAATCACGGCATTGGAGCTAGTTGTATAGGTTTGATTTAGGGTTTTAGATTATTAACTTGTACTGGTTAGTGTCTGTTCATATGCAATGGAAACAAAATTTCACTTATTGATTGGTAACTGAGACATGACAGGATGAACTGATATTAATCTGGGATGGTTGAAATTTCACATTTTTTTTAAAGTTATAAACAATGGTCTACTTTCTGGTAGATTATAAACAGAGTATTATTGAAGATTCAGACAAAATCTATTTTTGTTTTCAGATCAAACTGGTGGGGTGGGTTGCTTTAGAGCTGTGGATTCTACTTCTTGTCTGTTTTGTTATTTTTTTATTAGATTATTAGTTAGCGTGTTCTTGTTACCTTAAAACATCCACAGAGAATCATACAATCTTTCTTTTTAAATTCCTTTATGTTAGATTCTCTGAGATTTGCGGTCCAATACACTTTAAAAGCACGAGTCTTGTGCTTTCATACGGATCTAAAAGATAATGTATTAGTTGCTTCAATTTCATTTTTGCTAGTTGCTTGAACAAATCAAATTTCAATTGCAGCTGATAATACCAACAAGTCTATTAGAGTGTTAAGGATAGATACTTTCTCTTGTTGCCTTTTCTATGATGTGGTAACAAGTACATCCATGATGCTTTCTCTAAGAAGTTCTTTCATGTTATAACTAAGATTCTAATCTCACTTGCGTATTCAACTCTTAGAATATTACGCTCACATTTTATTGCCGGACACATTTGTTTTCTTTCATTGTCTTGCTTGGATCTTCTCTTTTCTTCTGATTGTGTAAGTTTGGATCAGTTTTACTTGTTTCTGAACATAGCCAATAAAGAAATGAGACTTTCAAGTACCATCACTGAAGTTTAAGTTTTTTTTTTATTGTCATTCTTATTGGATCATTTTGTTTCCACAGTGGAAGAGAGAACAGGTCTTGAGACTCCCATTCTTGATATTTATAAATAAAAAAAATGAGTGCAGCGGCTACAATGCACATGCCCCGAGAAGGCTCAAACTACGATGAGATCTCTATGCAACAGAGTATGCTCTTCTCTAATAATCTTCAGGTATATCCTAAAATCTTGAGTAAATGGGCTACTAGTAAAAAAAAATTTCTTGATATAAACATCATTGTTTTACAGGATCTTAAGAATCTGAGGACACAACTGTATTCAGCAGCTGAGTACTTCGAACTATCATACACAAACGATGGAGACACACAATCGTCAGTGAAATTTATTCCTCTTAATTGTTATTAAGACACATTTTAAAAAATTTGGGTTCTTATTATAAACTCTTACGTGTGTATGCAGAGTCGTGGAGACACTGAAAGATTATGCGATAAAGGCTCTGGTGAATACAGTTGACCATTTGGGATCTGTTACATATAAAGTGAATGAATTTGTCGATGAAAAAGTTGATCAAGTAACTGAAACCGAGCTGCGAGTAGCTTGCATCGAACAGGTATTTTTCAAAATGGCGTTTTTCTAATGCTCCCTGCTATAGTACGTTAATGAGTTTTTAATATTATACGTGTATGTATAGAGGCTACGGATGTGTCAAGAGTATATGGATCATGAAGGTCGTTCTCAGCAATCACTTGTCATCAACACTCCAAAGTTCCACAAGCGTTACATTTTGCCTTGTAAGTTCATATCTCTCTTTTACAATCTTTCTTTCTCTTATTTCTCATTTAACCATAAACTGAAACTTCTTTATCAGCTGGTGAGATCAAGATGGGTGGTAACCTCGGAAAGCTCAAGAGTGTTGAAAGTAGTTTTGGTGAAGAAGCTGAATGGAACCAGTTCAGAGATGGTATTAGTAATACATTCCTTTTCTCGTATACTTTGTTTAAGTTTTTTTCTTCAAAACATGATACTTGATTTGCTTTGTTTCCATGTTTTTCCTTTAAAGCTGTTCGTACTACAATTCGGGAAACGCCTCCACCACTCCTTAGGTATAATAATCTTTTCTACTTTTAGTAAGTTTCATTGTTAACTTGACCGGATTGCTTCACATTTTGGCAGAAAACCGGTACTACCGTCTCCTCCTCAACGCAAAACACAACGTTCAGCAACCTTTTCATTCTCCTCTATCTCCAACATGGCACCAAAGAAAGAACAAGGTAAAAAAAAAAACTCTGTTTAGGCTTAATGTGAGAGAACATACATACAAATCTTTAAACTGTGTGTTTGGTAAACCAGATAAACGAGCAGTGTCACCTCACCGGTTTCCACTGCTAAGATCTGGTTCGGTTGCTATCAGACCGACATCAGTCAGCAGGCCAACGACTCCTAGCAAGAGTAGAACAATAACTCCTAAACGGGTAAAAGCTTAAGTTACATTTTGCAACCTCTCTTGTTACTGCTTTGGAACCTTTTCTTTGTTTACTTGACTGGTTTTGATTCTTGATTTTTTATGAGTTTAGTATCCGTCAGAGCCGAGAAGATCAGCTTCGGTTCGGGCTGCGTTTGAGAAAGAAGCTCAGAAAGAACCAGAGCAGCAGCAGCAGCAGCAACAACAACCGAGTAAGAGCAAACGGTTGCTTAAGGCGTTGCTTAGCCGACGCAAAACCAAGAAGGATGAAACTCTTTACACTTACTTGGATGAATATTGAACAGAAGTTGATTTTTGTATTGCTAAACTGGAAATTTGTTTCCAATTTTCATTGCCTTTTCTGTTACATAATAATATCAATATATATGCTTTGTGTGAACTTTTTTTTTTGTATAACGTGCGTCTGTCAAAATGTGAATGCAATATATTCTTACAAAGATATTGAAAAAGTACAAGAGATAATGTTCGAGTAAACTAACCAGATTTCAGTTTTGTTGTCTCTTCCCTAACAAAACCAAAATGATGTCAATAAAGATGACAACAAACCGGAGCCAACATGTTGCAAATCTCCTCATACTTTCTGTTCAACTTGTTTAACCAAAGAAGCTAGTCACTCGAGTATTAGGTACAAAAAGTAATAATCAAATACTGCATTAACTTGAAACAATTATCTTTATTTTCACCAAGATTGAAGGTAGTACAAGAGATAAGCAGAGAAAATAAACACAGATATTGCTTTGGAAAAACATATGAATAAAGAAACAAACATGAGAACATAAAATGTTATTTCCAAACATGACACCAACTTACACGAGTCTTCTCCACGACCACTGGTTTAGATTAGATACCGTTTTTTTTCTATCCTTTTTTCTTTGGTGGTGGTGGAGGTGGTGATCTCTGGTAATATTGAGCACCAAGTGAACGGTGGGAAGAAGGAAGATAATCTTGACGAGAATCCATCGATGGATGCTTGAAATAAGAGTATGATGCAGCAGGTGTGTTGTTGTCAAGAAGTTTCCGGTTGGTTTGAGCCTGCACCATCACAAGTAAAGCTAGAAGAATACAACATTTCAAGAGCTGATGGTTCCACGAAGCCATTTTCTTGTTTTGTTTTGTGGTGATATATAGATGGAGTTTACTTTGCTCACCAAAGGTCTATGTATATAGTATAGTACATCATAGAGATTACAGGCTTCCCACTAACGATTACTAGATTTGTTTACTTAAGATTCTTTTGTTCAATAATTAATCATCAACCTGTTGGTAGTTAGTTCTTTGTTTAATGATCGTTAGGATACTTGTTCTACCCGTATGAGTTATAGAGATTGGATATATATTGTGCTTTCCTCTCGAACTGATCGGATCGGCCAATAGGGTTTATCAAAGAAAAAAAGAATTATGGAGATTGGATATATGGCGAATCTCCAAAATAACGTCGCAAAAATAGTATTCAAAATTAAAATGATCAAAATAGCATTTTATCTTTTGAAAATTTTAAATTTTTTTTTTTCAAAAATTGAAATCTTATCCCCAAAACTTCACTCCCCAACTCTAAACCCTAAACCATAATATCTAAATTAATTTATCATTAGGATATAAGTGTATATTTATCTCTTTTGATAAAATATTAAGTACTATTTTAATCATTTTTATTCTTAAGTGCTATATTTGTGACAAAAAAATTTTAATGTTATTTTAGTCATTTTCTTTTGGATATATTGTGTCTTTCTGATTTAAAAAGAGAGGTGACTAAACCGGTTTAGTCCGGGGTGATTAAATTATATTTTTCCAAATACAAACCGGGGTTTTAATAAACCGAACAGACAATATCGCACCGGAGAGTGTGTGTGTATATATATTCCGGTTCTATCTATTTACCGAACACAAGTGTAAGCCATGGCTTCTTCTTCCTTCACCTTCTCCTGCTCGTCGATTTTGAGTGTAAATCAAAATCTCTCTACTTTTTTCCTATCACATATTCATGTTATTGGGAGTTATCTGGGGATCTACCATCGTTCGGTTCTGTCTATAAGGTTTTTTTTTAAAACGCTTCTTTTGGTTAAATTTCAGATTGGTGATGTGAGAAGCGGGAAATCACGAGCTTCCACACTCCAACCTCAGGTCTGTTTGTGTGATAGATTTTTGTCATAAATAAACTTTGATTGATTTTTTTGGTTGTTTTTTTTTTATTTTGCAGATTTCTTGCGGGATTCAAAGGGATGATAATGGACGCCGTATCTGGCGGAGGAGAACACTTGTAAGCAAAGACACTCTCTTCTTACTCTCTGAATTGACTTCATAGTTTCTTTTTTAATGAGCAATCGAAATCTAGTGACTGTTTAGCAAATTCAAATTTCTGGTCTTTGCTTTTGCTCTTAATTTCACCACTTTATAAAAAGAATGAATCAATCTTTTATGCTCTTTAAATTAGCTTTAGTGAATCTCTCATGTATCAAGAGCTTTCTCAGTTTGAACTCTTGCTTGGTCATTACAGACACTAGCTTGCAATGATGGGTTACTGTTACTGTCTATGAAGTTATAGAAGCAAAGCTTTTTAACTATTAGAGCTATCTATCATTATCATCATGAGCTTGGATTGCATATTACATTTAAAAGAAACTATCGGTATCTGTAGTTTCATATCGTGTCTTGTTAATGAAAGTGTCTGTCACTCTTTCCTTTGTTCCTTTTGTATTTGAGATCATCATTACCAAAATCCAGAACAGTTCTGCATCTTTTGCTCCATAGTTCAGTTTCTCTAACATTTTCTTTTGCATTGACCAAATGAAACAAGATTTTCTTTAGTTTACATTTTTCCAATCCTATAAATTTGAAGTGAGAGATCAAACAACAGTGTTAGCAGCCAATAATACCTTTTTTTTTATCTCTTGCAGACAAAGAAGGACGATATGCTGCGTTACAAACTACAAAGAGTTCCGTTCGTGGAAGAACAAGTGAGGAAGATACAGGAAGTTGGGAAGGTTATGACAATGGACATCGAGCGTTTGCTTTTAAGCGAAGACAATCGCTTTGAGTTCGTCAACAGTGTAGCAGCTGAGGCAACAGAGTACGTTGAGAAAAACAGAGACGAATACGGAGGTACAAAGAAAGCCATCTTTCATGTTCTGAGCAACCGTGTCAACGATCTCGGGTTTGATCGACCAGAAGCTTATGCAGAGTCAGATCCTTACAAACCTGGCCCTGGCTACTTGAAGGAGTATTACACATAGAAGAGATACTACTACTGTTAGCAAGAGTTTTAAAAATGTAATTCAACAGCCTTTTCTTGTTCTTGTATTAGTACCAAATCAAGTCAATGCATTCACTACTTTGTTCTTGTAGTTTTGGCTGAACAATATTATAAAGCTAATATGATAAAATTTATTAATTTACCTTACCGTATTAATTTATATAGTTTATAGTGGACAACCAAACTGATGGTTATAGTGCTCAGCAAATTTAAATGTATGGTTACACATTTTGGAAAATGGAATTCAAGATTTTCTATCACAACTCTTTTCTGTACCAAAAAAAAGTATCTACCTCCACCAATTCACAATGTAAGTAGTTTAGGCTAAAAACACTAATATTAAGAAAGGTGGTACTTTTAAAAAGTAGCATTTCTCTATAATATTATTTGAGAAGTCAGTTTCCTACGTGTCGCGCTCACGTTAACTCTCGCGATGGTTGATTACATAGATAACTTTAATGAATTGTTATATTTTAAGATTATTATTATTTTTTATTTAGTTTCCTTTTTACCTTTTTCCAAATAACATATATAATAAAAAATAAATATTTCTAAAATTTAAAAACAAATTTAAAAACAAAAATATATGTATATAATATGAGTTTATTAAAAAGGAAAGTTCACAAAATAGTAATACCCCCATTAATATATATTTTTAAATAACATAAAATATATTTTCAAAATAATGAAAATATATATGTTCATGAACATTCAAAAATTTATCAGTTACATTTTATTTTCTACTATTTTTTTAGAAATCAACATATAATTTGATAAATATTATGAAAATACATGTATATTTAAGCGATAAATTTTTATAATATTATTTGAGAAATCACTTTTTTATGTGTCGCGCTCACGTTAACCTTTACGCTGGTTGATTACTATGATACATCTAATGAATTAAAAAATACATTTAAAAATTATTTTTTTTAAACAAATTCCAAAAAACAGTATAAAATAAAAAGGAAACATTTATAAAGTTTACAAAACTATTTAAAAACGAAAATATAAGTATATATAAATATGGTTTCATAAAAAAGGAAAGTTCACAAAATAGTAATATTTAATTTAAATATATTTTAAATAACATAAAATATACTTTTGAAGTAATAAAATACTTTACATCTATATCTTCTTAGCTGAAAAAATATTTGTATATAATGTGATTCCATAAAAAAACATACACAACTAATCTTGATAGTAGAAAAATAAATAATTTAAAGATTAAATATATATATTTTCAAAGTAATTTTTTTATATATCTATCTATTTTATTAGATGATTACATAAAATAATTAAGTAAAATAAACTGATATATGTTTAACTGACAATTTTGTTTAATAATTAGTATTCTTGAAATATTTTTTTTAATTTTTAGTATATATATTCGACTATAGCAAAATATATAAATTCTATTTTACTTATATAATATAATTTCTCAAAACAATAACATTTTTACTGCATATTTTAAGAGATATTAAAAACATAACTAAAAAAAAATTAATAATAAACATTTTTTGATCAAATAACTAAAATTATTTTAAAATATCATAACACTATATAATTTAATGAAATAGATATATTATATTTTAATAGTTAAAATTATATGTTTTCTTAATAACTCTTTTGATTTTTAATTTTATGTTTTTATGTTTGTGGAACTTAATGTAACCATAATCAAAATAATTAAGCAATCTTTATTTTTAAAATATTTAAAATAAATTTAAGTTTACCATCCAATCAATCTAAATATTTTAAATATTGATATGTGTTCATAAGCTTCCAAAATTTTATTATTGACTTATGTGTGTAATTTAGAATCACACAGTTTAGTTTTTGTTTTTTTTTTCTAAGCACAAAAAATCTTAAATTATACATAATCTAACTAGATATATTTATATTTCTAAGATAACAACTGGCATAAATGTAAAAAAGACAATTAATTAAAAATTTAATATATTTATAATAAAAAATTATAATTGAATTCAGAGAAATAGATAAAAGCTGATATATCCATATGATAACTAAATCAACCGAGAAACAATAAAACTGACAAAATATAATATATCTAAAATTGTATATATAATTAAATTAATATAATATTAATAATAGAAATTATACCTACAAATTATAAATTAATTTAAAAATTAAAGTAAATATCAATCAATTTTACAATATATTTATTTTATAAATATTTATGTCTGTGCATTAGCACGGGAAAATCAGCTAGTAGTTAATAAATTTAACCCATTACAAAAAAAGTGATATTATTTGATTGACCACATTATATCTAATAAATATAAAAGCTACCTAGATATATGAAAAAAATTGAAACAAAAAGAATTCAATAAAACTACTTGCAGTAAGAAAGGAGGGAGTAATTGTAATGGGAAAAAAACCATGGTATTTACATGAAAAAACAGGCCTCAGTTACAGTTCACTATATATTATTACTTACAAAAAGGCAATTATAAATTATACTAATAATTACTTTTAACGATTAAAAAAGGCCAAAATCTGAGTTTCCCCTTGTAGGGCTGGGCATTTTATCCGTTATATTTGATTCGATCCGTTATTCGTGTCGATTCGATCCGAAAATTCCGGATATCCGTAAACTTTCGAATCAAAGCAAATACTAAAATTCAATATCCGTTAAAATCGAAGCAAATCACAAATATTAAAATTGTGGAAAGCGGATATCCGATCCGATCCGTAAATATATAAATATATG